GATTTAAATTCTGCTAACCTATGTGGGTCAGAAGGAGTTTAACTTGAGCACTTAATGCCTTTAAGATCATAATCAGAAGGACTAAAATGGGCTCTAATGTTTCTTGAGTTTTATTCACTCTTTCCTCTCCCTCAACTTTGCTCCCTTAGTAAGAAGAAACTCTGCGTTTTAAAGACAACTGGGTACAAGTATGGAGCCGCAACCCGGGGTCACTGCCATACACTGTACATGCAGCCCTGGCTTCCCCTGCGCCCCCTGCTCCAGCTCTGACCACACCACAGGTCACTGCCGGGGTCCCGGGCCTCTTTCCTTCATGATAGCAGGGAGTTATGCCTGCTCTCCCTCTGCTGTCCCCAGCACCCAGGACAGTGCCCAGCGTGCAGCCGGTGCGTAGTAAATATCTGCTGAATAAATGAACAAACTCAGGAATAAACAGCGGACAATTCGTGCAAGTGGAGCAATGTAACTGCCATAGGGTGTCTGGTGGGCAAAGTTCTTGCATCTAGTTTGGGAAAGGAGCAAGAGAAGGCTTCAGGAAGGAGGTGACATTTGGTTAAGCCTTAAAGGGATCTCAAGCAGAGGGTGTCCCGCTCCCAGAGCTGGTAAGAGGCCCCAGGTACCATGGTGAGTGGGACAGCTGAGACTTCCTGCTCGCTGGGGTCTGCGGGGTCTTCTCAGGGAGAGCCATGTCCACCAAGCCACCACCCAAACAAACACAGAGCACCAAGTTGAAGGCACCGAGGAAAGGTGCCAGGCGTTACAAGCACTTGCCTCACAACTGTACAACCCAGGCGTCTGGGGAGGTTTCCCTAAGATGTGAACCGCAGACATCCAGGGTAGAGGTTACCAGGTCAGAGGGGGGGTGACAGGCAGGGTAAGAGAGTGTGCCCCTGACATCAGTGGAAGGAGCACAGTACAAGAGACGAACCAGTGTGGAAGGGATGTCAGCCCCTGGAGGGTCAGGGCCACGCTTCCTATTATCCACGGGAGCTGGTACCTATCTGATGGACAAGTGGACACCACGTGGGAGAATTAATAATAATAATAAGCAAGGAAACAAACCACGACCAAGTTCTCACTACCTGCCAGACAGCAATGTATGAAAAGTACCAGCATTCACCCCAGGTTTAGATGAGGCCAGTTGAGAAATCCACCTGAGTCGGAGGGCTGCTCAGAGGTGGGACAGGACTCAGAACCTTGTCCTACCTCTGCTGCCCCCACCCTGCTGGAGGCCAACCAGGAGGTGGTCACCTGCTTACCTGGTCCTTTGGCAATTTCACTACACGGGTGTAAATAGGATGGTGGTAGCTGTGTTAGGATTAACTGGTGCGTGGATGTGTTATACCAGAGCCTGGAATTTTGTCTTTTAATCTATTTTGAGTTCCTTTTATCTTTCAGAGACTTCACTCTCGAAGAGTCTGTTCCAGACCTGGTATCATCATGGGCACACATCTTTCTGAAATACCTTCTACGAATGATTTAATCTACTAAGAAAGCCCAGATCTGAATTCATTTGTTCCAAAAAGAGCAAGCTTCCCAGCTCGTGTGCTTTTATTACCGATCCCTGGGAGCTTCGAGGGACAGCCCTGATTCCCTGGCTATAGTTTTCCTTCTGGATCCCTGTTTCTCTTAAGTCTTGTACCTCGATTCGTATGAAAGATTATCAGCTGTCCTTGAACGTGGTTAAATATTCACCTTCCCTTAGACCTCTGACCTAGACACTAACAACTAACTTTATAGATTCATCTAAGCAAAGAGTATAGACCAGAAGAAAAAGTCAATAATTGCTGGTTTACAAAGTAAGAGAGAAACAGCACATCGGCCTCTTCTTCTATCGATATCCTGATAGACACTCTGCTCTTCACTCACAAGGCCTGGAGCTTTCAAGGACTTATGTTTGCTCCTAATTTAAAGCTTTCCACTTAAAGCTTCCTCTTGGAAGGGTCACCATCCACTGTCACCCTTAGCTGGTAGCCGCAGCCTTCCTCTCTGGGCTCAGCACACCGATCCTTTTGTCTGCACTTCTTAGAACCTTCCCTGGCAGTTGCAAACTGTGGTTTCCAGGCCACTGCAGTTTCCAGTCAGCAACCTGTACTCACCACTGTGATCAGTCCTCCTCCCCTCTCAGCATTTCTGCCCTACACGACTTCGGAGCGTCCACATGCTCATTCCTCCTTCTCTGGGTCTAGAATCCTCTCTGCTAATTTGGACAAAGATGCTACATTTCCACCCCCACGTTCTATAGTCATCACCGTCACACAAGCGCTCTTAACTCTGATAGGGTCAGCCTCTTCTCTCAGCTCCAAATGCATGCCAGTGCCCTGATACCACCCTCTCTGCGTGCCTCCTGTATTCTAAGCCTTTTAAGGATACCACCCTCCATCAAGCTCCCACATGTAACATTTGCACAGTTGAACTTGTTTCTGAAAAGCTGTTTGTCTCAGGGCCAGGTGAGGTGGCTCACACCTGTAATCCTAGCACTATGGGAGGCTGAGACCCCATCTCTAAAAATAGCCAGGTGTTGTGGTGGGCGCCTATAGTCCCAGCTACTGGGGAGGCTAAGGCAAGAGGATCACCTGAACCTAAGAGTTTGAGGCTGCTGTGAGCTCATGCCAAGGCACTCTACCAGGGTGACAAAGTGAGACTCTGTCTCAATAAAGAAAAGAAAAAGCTATTTGTCTCTTTCACAACTCCTTGCTGAATAGATGAATTAGGGTTGCTTTTATGATGTGAAAAGCTATAGCAATAGAATGTCTTCCTTTCAGGAAAATGGTCTCAACAAAGTGAGCTTTTCAAAGAATAGAAGAGGACAAAGGTTGGGTTCTGAACATTCTGCTGTGAGTCACCAGGAAGGCTGTGCAGAAACACCAAGCCAAGTCCCCGGGCCTATATCTGGTGACAGATTCTGTAACATTTTTCAAAGTGGAAAAAAAAAAAGTCAATTATAAAATACTGAGAGGAGCCAAATACGCCCCTCAGAAATTACAAAGTCCAAGGAAAATGTAACCAGATTGATCACCCTGTTTGTTTCTGTTATGAATAACTTTCACATACTAGGAGATGATTCCATTTAAAGCAAATTTCAAACTTCTCTGAGCAATTTTTCTTTAAACATCATTTGTGTGAATCCCATCCCCAACGTATAGATAGAAAAACAGAAATGAACTAAAATGAGATCGAGTCTACAATTTATCAAATTTATTTATAATCCCGGACAGAGGATAATACGTTCCCCGTGACATCTAGTCCTCGGCCCATTTGTCATTGTGTTGAATAAGGAAAACTGCCTGAATGTGCTTCTAAAAAATATTCCAGTAAAAAACACCCCACTTGACATATAATAGAACAAAACTTGTCGTAGGTCATCAAGATTTGAGTGTCATTTGGTTGTGTAGTGCTGTGTTTTACAAGCCATTCTGCTTAATTGTGAATATGCATTTAAATACTCATGGCAAGCTGACCACAAACTTTCTAGACAGTTTGAGAAAAGGACATACCCGCGTGCCAACCTCTGAATAATGAGGTCTCTTTCACTGAAGCTCGGCGAGTTGTCACTTCAGTGTGGTTATCACATAACCACAGACTTATTCGGTTACAAGTATATGGAAGAGAACTTGGGGCCTCACTCTTAAAAATGAAAAGAGAAAGAGAGGGAGGGACTACAACCTCCTGTTGACCTAACTGTAAGCGAATCTCAAGGCACTCGTGTGAAGTTTCCTAACCTTCGAAACAATTGTCATTCCGGGCTTGCTCTCCTCACTTTTTTTTTTTTTAAAAGACAGAGTCTCACTTTATCGCCCCCCGGTAGAGTGCTGTGCCGTCACAGCTCACAGCAACCTCCAGTTCTTGGCCTCCCGAGTAGCTGGGACTACAGACGCCCACTCCGGCTATTTTTTATTGCAGTTTGGCCGGGGCCAGGTTTGAACCTGCCACCCTTGGTATATGGGGCCAGTGCCCTCCTCACTGAGCCACAGGAGCCGCCCGCTCTCCTCACTCTTACTACTCAAGGTGATGCCCTTTCTGAGGTGTATGTGTGGCCTTTAAGTTAAAAGTATAAACAGAACAGAAGTCTTCGCTCCTCCTTACTTGAAAATCTCTTAAAATAGAGCAAAAGAAAGCAATAAAATGAGTGGGCACAGAAGGGGTGTCCATCGATGTTTCTGTGATTTCTCCCAGCGTATCTTACTTCCACAATTGGAGCACGAGCAGGAGCCCCCTCCGCATTGAATACGAGCACCCCCAGCTCAGAAAGGTTTAACTACATCCCTTTCCTACTCAAGTCAGTGGTGGGGTATTTGTAGCCATGATCTTGCAGAACGAAACAGCATTTTATTTAAATAGACCCTCAGACCATCTCATAAAACGTCTATTTAAAGCAAAATATACCCTGAACCTAGCGATAATTCCGGAGAGGATCACTTCAGCAACAGCTACCCCTTTCTCACACTGCTGCAATGGGAGCTACATATTGGCTATCTGGCAGGACGCCTGCCTGGTACTGACAGAAGAAGGGGTTCTCGCCTTGCTGGGGCCGAGGGAAGTGGCAGGATACCCAGGGGCAATCCTGTCAACATGGTAAGCCTGCTGCTGCCATCTAAGTTAGGGCCCCTGAGCCAGCTCCTGTTCACATTTGAGTACTGTGGTGACCATACAGGCCCACTAATAAATTTTTGTTGAATGAAATTCTGTAAATATCCCATGAATGTTTACAAATATGTATTCATCATATGGGTTAGCAGGGCGGACTTAAAGAAGACATACTCTCTGCCCTCAGCAAGGTAGACTCCTGGGGAAAACCCAGTCCGCCTTTCTTTTTGGATGGAGCCATGTTCGAACCCGCCACCTTTGGTATACAGGGCCGGCGCCCTACTCCTTTGAGCAACAGGTGCTACCCCCAGTCTGCCTTTCTAACAAGAAGCCATGGTGTAGGGCGGCACTCAGCCTTGGCATAGGGCAGTAGGGGTGCCGCAGAGTCCTGTCAGAGTCTAGGGAGAACTCACCAGCCCTGCACTCAGAGATCCCCTCCTCCTCAGGGTGAAGAGCGACCCTTGGCCTGGTCCAGATACTTTGGGATAAGAACAAATGCAACACGTACTGCCACCAAGGCCTGAGGTCATCGTCACATTCAAAACAAACACAAACCACTGGTGACAATTTTGTTCTTACTGGTAGAGAATCTTGTTTACCTATTCAAACATGAAGGAAGGGTTGCACGTATGGGGGAAAGACGGTGTGTTGCCTTCAGAAAATCATAAAAGGAAGCAAAACCAGATCTGTGAGGTAAGTGAGAAATGCAGGCAGCTGAGGGCACGTCCTCCCCCCTGAAGACACCTCCTGGGGCCGGCACAAGCTTTTCAGCCACCACTTTTGGGCTTTACAACCCTTCAGGGGGGTGAAACGAAGAGAAATTCCATTTTCTGATGAGAAAACAGCAGTTTAAAAAGGTGGACAAAGGTCTCCAGGCCAGGCAGCCCCTGGCTAAGGGGCTAGAATCCAAATCTCATGATTAATGACCTCACCCCTTTTCTACCAGACCACCCCGCTTTCCTGATAAAACCAAAATTTTCGGAAATGTTTTTTCTCCCCATATCTGGGCCTCAAAATAAATGCAACTCAACTACAAAGATAACCATAACAGGCCTGACCATTAACAAGGAGTAAGTTCTTCATTTTCTGAAGGGCGTAAACTTTCAAGACACCATAATGTCACTACTGCAAGATGCCAAGCAATTAACTATTTTAGAAGCAAAGGATGCACAGACCTCCAAATAATGAGCAAGTCAGAAGAGATTGCATCTATTAACCAAAGAACAGGCTGGAAAATTTGCACGCACAGAGTTCCTTTCCATAGGAAGCATGGTGCCCACAAGCAACTGAAGTACTTGGAAGATGAAACAAGTGCTTTGAAATCTGACCCACTGGAACATCTAAGGCTTTTCCTATTTGATTCTTACCTTAAAACCATCTTATTATAAAGTTGTAAATTTAAATTCTGTGCCTATGTTTCCCTTAACACGTGGCCTTAGAGGTGATCTAGCTTATTCGATGTAATTAATAAGGCTGAAATAACACATAAAGTCTATCCCACAAACAGAAACTACCCCTTTTTTAAAAGTGTCTATGGAAAATTTGAAAACTTGACTCTATCCAGAAATAAAAGCAGAGACCTGCAAATTCCAAGAAAGCAGAAATTAGATGGGCCACATCCCCTAACTGCAATGTACCAAATTAGTATGGTCACAGAACAAACATACTGGCTAACTGCAAGTTAAGACACTTACCCATATTAAAAATATACACACAGAGAACAAAAGAAGAAAATGGGGTATGTTTAAACATTTATTTATAATAAGGAAAGAAATATTTTAATTAGGTGTTTTTTAAAAAAACTATTTAAAGTATATTTATGACAAAAACACACATGCTTATGGACAGCGTGTAAGAGAAAGAACACTAGTCTCCAGGCACTAAAGAGTAAGGTGTCTGGCAAAGACGGTTCCCTCCTCCATTACCACAGTGAGGAATATCTTTAAGTTTCTATTATGGCATGAGAGTTAGTTTTATTAGCAGATCCACAGTTGTAGTGTTCAGTGCTGGGCACAGGAGACCAAAATATTTATAAAATGAATCTATTTTATATATGTGTGTATATATGTATATACATATACACACAGACATATAAATACACAGTGGGCTATTATATAGACATTTTAAATCATGAAGCAGAAACATATCTTATTCACACTGAAAGATTTCTCATAACCTGAACAGTCAATAAAGCAAGTTACAAATGATACGTAGAAGGAATGTTTTCTCTCTTCTCTCTCATTCTCTCACACACACACAATTTTTAAAATTCTATTTACAAGTTTGACAAAGGTGAGCTAGTCAAAAGACCGAGAGCATTTGATATCTCTTATTACATATGTTTATGATGTGGGAAAATAAAATAAAATTTTTTCTGCTGTCAATTCACATCCCTTTTGCTTCAAAGCTGCATAGGATTTGATCAGGCCCACGTCTTTGGTCTTTCCTGAATGGTGACCGCAAACGTCTGTATCATTTGGCCCATTTCTTGGGGCTATCCCTGCTCTGGAACTGACCTATCTCAGCAAGCCATCTGCATAAAATTAAAATTAAAATGAAGGCAGCTCAGAGACAGTATGCTGCCCTGCGCTAATCAATGTCTGTAACGTTATATTCTCAAGTTCTAAATTACACAAAACCAACCTGCCCTAAAGAAACGGTGGGGGGGGGGGGTGTGTTTCCTAGTGTAACCTACACACAATTCAGAACTTAAAAGTGAATCCATCCACTTTTATTCTACTTTACAAGCACCAAAAATGTATTTAGCATTACATCACAAAGTAGTAACTTCTGGAAATGTTAGTAATCAAACCCTCTATTTACCTGTGGTGACAACTTCTTGGTTCTGAGCTTGTCTTGCTAGAAGTCACTTCCCAGAGGAGGTAGGGCCCTTAGCTTCAGCCTTGGCAGAGAGAAGGTAAAGGAGGGAACGTTTACAACGTGTTCTCTGGATCCCCCCCAACTCTCCACCACCTTGGAAGAGGAAAGTCACCCTGACCAGGGTCCTTCCCAGGAAAACCTTTGTGCCCCTCCTCTCCTCCCCTCTCCTCTCCTCCCCTTCCCGGGCAGCCCTGGGAGAGGAGGGGGCCTCCCTGGTGCCCTTGTGACCATGGGCTTGGGAGGGGCAGGGGCCGGCTGGGGTCGAGGTGGGGCGTGCCTCCCCGAAAGTCCCACGGAGCCCAAGACATTTTACAGTTGTAAAGTTTCCTTAGAAAGAATCTTGATATTTGGAGCATACCGTCCCTCCTTTAAATTAAAAAGTGGCTCCTGTCCCCTGTTGCTCGAGGGTGGGCGTGGGGACTGACCCACCCTCCTGACGTCCACCTGCCACCCTCCGGCTTTACCCACCCCACGTAGACCGCCCACCCAGGGACTCAGTGGAGATGTGCGGGACAGGAGTGTCCCGAACTCCTGAGGGACATCGCGTGGCTTCTGCAGAGATGCCACCGACTCAGAGAAGCCGACCGGGGGTCGCCACACTGAGCTCGGGCACAGAGCGGGAACCGTTCCTCAGAGGTGCCCCGCAGTTTATAAAACTTAACACGCACGCCGAGTTTCTCCCATCCAACGGCAGCAGCCAGGGGCACCCACCCCAGGGTCGGTCTGTCGGGATCTTGGGTTACCGTGCCTCGGGGATCCCAGGAGATCTCGGAAGCGCCCTTCGAGCGAGTGACGCCCAACTTCGTCGCGCCAAGGAAAAGGCGCGCTTCGACGTCCCCACCCGTGGGCCTTCCTTCCCAGGGGACAACTGGAGGACCCTGAGTCGCTGCAGTCCCCGGCCCCGACCCCTGCGCAATTCCCACCCGCACCGACAGCGTGGACGCCGCGGTTCCAGGCAGGCCCCCGACGCTCGAAAGGAAGCCGCGCAGGAGGCAGCCGCTGAGTCTCGAGATCCCCTACACGAGTCCTCCGTGTGCGTCCTCGCCCCGCGCCCCCAGGTCACCAGCCTTGAGCTCCCCGGCCCCCAGGCTCCCGGTCCCGCGCATGCGCTGCCCAGGCCCTGCCCCTCCCCCGCCCGCCGTCCTCGGTCCCGGGACTCGGGAGGCCCAGCCCGCGGACCCCCGCGCGTGCCTGCCCGCTCCCAGGCACCTGGGGCCGCGGTCCGCCGCCTGCTGGTCCGTAGGGCGAGCGCGCCAGAGGAGGCGGCGTCGGGCAGGGCACTAGCGCCCGCCTCCGCCCCCACCGCCCGCTGCCCCCGCTGCGGGGCCGCCGAGTCCCTGGCCCATGCCTGGAGCCGCTTCCGCGCGCCCGTGCCAGCCGCGCCCCCGCGACACGCGCCGCCCCTCGGCCCGCCCCGGTTCGGCCGCGCGGACGGCTAGCACCGGTGACCGACCCGGAAGCCCCGCCCCCTCTTCCCGGGCGGGACACACCCCCCGGACGGCAGCGCCCGGTTGGCTGCTCGCGGGGGCGGGGGCGCGGCCGCCGCAACTCCCGAGCAGCTCTCGGCGATTCCCACTTCGCGTCCCGCTGCCGCTGCACCAGGAGGAAACTGAGGCCGGACGGCTGCTCAAGGTCACCCCGGCACGCTCGCCGCCTGGCATCCGTGCCCTTACAGCCCCGCGCACCTGGGGGCTGAATTCGAGGTGGGGGCGGGCGCGAGGCCGCAGCCCGGGTGGAGGTTCCCGCCCGGCGCCCGTGCCACGCTGGCGGAGCCCTTCCTCCGTCGCCGAGCCCAGCTCTGCGGGTCTGTACGCTAAGCTGGACTAGACCCGGGACCAAGGACTGGGTACCCTCGAGTCTCGGAAGTGCGTGGGATGGGGACGGCCAGAGAAGGACCTGCCCCTGTTACCTCACGCTGCAAAATAAGGAGAAAGGGAATGCGAGATGGGAGGACGCGTCAACAGGTGGCGGAGGTGCCAGGGCTGGGGGGCAGGGATGAGAAGGGTGAAGGGCAACCGGGACGGCGCGGGGAGGAGCCTCAGCGCCGAGCCCCCGCCCCCGCCCCCGCCTCCATTCCCCGACCCGAGAGCAGTGCCTGCCTCCCGCCCTGCGCTGGGCTGAGGGGCTGACTCTGCCCACGCAAGGCGCTGGGACTATGCCGGCGCTGGGGAGGTCGCGGCCGGTCAGCCGACGGCCAGGGGTAGGGGAGGGCGCCTCAAAGCAGCTTTGTTTGCGCCGGGACGCCAGAGCTTCCCGCGCGCACAGAACCCCGCGGGGCCGGCACAGCGCATCAGGACACCGGTCCTTTGGAACGAAACGTGTGCGGTGCCAAATCCCTCCCTGCCCTCTCGCTGCCTCTGTGCTGTTTGTGGCGGCGAGCACCCAGGAGGACCCACTCTGGAAAGCAAACGCAACTTCCAGCACAAATCCCTCTTTACGCAGGGGAACTGGAGGCCAGGTCTTGGCCCTTTTCACGAACTTCTCTTAAACTCATCCCTGTTGACCATCGCAATACTTGCGGTGAACTTTGCCCCACCCTCCAGACGCCCACTCACGTACAGGCAAGCCCAACTTTTATTACACACGCTGGCTGGCAATAACTAATATTTGCCTTGTCTCCAAGCTCACAAAGTGAGCCATGTGTATCGTATCCTGGTATCCCACAGGCCGTGCAGCGGCGGCGTTATGCGTTTATCCAGCTAGTGGCCATGTTGGGCTTGGTGGCATGGATCTAGCAGGTGGGAATGTTGACCGGCAACTATCCCAGCAGAGCTCATGGGCTTCCTCCTTATGAGGACACCCAGACTGAGACACATTCCCTGGCACACACCTCCCCCCCATCCCAGGCTCTTGGACCAAGTGTCCAAACAGGTGTGTCGGCTTCTTTTCCCAGATTCCCCACAGTGGTGTGTCAAATCCAGTGCAGCCAGGCAGTGGGGGAGACTGGCAAACACTTATGAACGAGGATAAAGGACACAGGGTCCAGCAGAGTACTTGTACACTCAGCACACACAGAAAACATTCTTCTACGGTTCTGGGGGCTCCCGAGGTTTCAAGGAGAGAAAATGTGTTTTTCATCCATGTGTCAAGAGATGTCACTTTGGATCAATGCTGTTGGCCAGCCTCCTGAAAAGGCAAGTCTCAGACTTTTCTCATGGGAGGACCCTGGCCAGAAACAACTCTGTATCTGCTGCCCTCAGGGGGCAGTGGGAGTTTTTGGGGGGGGAGGAGGGTCCACTTCAGATGAGAGAGATGAAGCAAACTTGTATTTGCGGTGAAGACCTCAGCACACAACCAACATGGGAGAAACTGCCACAAAGGGCACCCCCACCCCAGCTCCGGGAAGTCTCTCTCCTGGCCACATTCAGCGTGACTAGGGTGTGGGCAACACAACAGAAGCTACCACACAGTTATAGTAGGAATCTATAACTTTGGGGACTAGTCAGCACTCTTGAAACGCCTCTAAGCACCACCCGAATTCTCTTTGGAGCCTGAGTAAGTATTCAAGAGCACAGGGACCTTAGGTCACAGCTTCTGTCTTTTGGCTGATGCCATTGCAGTTCCCTTTTCACATTTTCTGACCTGGAAGATGCCCCGAGAGGCAGTGATTTCTGTGCTTGAATTACAGTAAGGCAACTGAAGCATAGAGGACCCAGCTGTGAGGTCACACGGACCAGGTGCAGAGCCCAGGAGGCAAGGCCGGTCTGGAGACCCCACAGCCAGCTGCCCTGCTCAGCCACTATTATGAGCAGCAACTTGCCAGGATGAAGCTCCTCCCTGAGTCTGGGGTCCAGCCAGAGTCTGTTTACCCTGCAGCTTAGGTAAGCCCTTTTCCAGGAACCACCTAAAGCCTCTCGGGGGTCACTGGCTTGCCCTTTGCTGATCTGCGGAGCCTCCTATCCATTTGAAATTTGTACTTCCGGGCTGTCATCAGCCAGGACAATGGCCTCTGAGCCCCTGGAAGCATGCTCTCAGGTCAGGTGGTCAAAGTCCACTGGGGCTAGGGACATGGGCTGAGAAAGCTCAGTGATAGCAAGTAGGGAGATGCTCAGTGGACAGAGGCTAGAGCTCGGTGAGGGCCAACTATGGGCATGAACTTGGCCGCCACCCTGGTGCTGACAGCAAAACTTCCTGAGCCTAGGTAACAAAGTACTGTCACAGTAAAACACAGAAGTCTCAACAGTCCAGCAAGCAGCTGTGTTTACCCTCATTTTATAGATGAGGAAACTAAGGGCCAACACTTGGCCCAGATCTCGAAGAGGGAGTGAGACCCCTCTCAGAGTCCAGGTCTATGCTGCCATTAGGACTTGCCCCTGGGCACCCCCGGGCTCAGCTGTCTGGCGCAAAAGCTGTGAACCGGCCTGATGCCTCAGTCTCTCTGGCAGGCCCTGGGGCCAGTCCTAACCCAACCACTCCAGGCGGGTGGCAACAGCATGTGCAGAAGCCTGTTGGCAGAGAAGGGGCCTACATTCAAGGGGAGACAGTGTAGGAATGGCACAAGATGGACAGAGTGGGCGTGGCCCTAGCCAGGCATAGCTCGTGGCCCTGTGGGGAGCCTAGTTTTTGTCCTAAGGACTAGCTATGGAGTGACTCTATCAAACTAGTAACAACTGATAAGTAAGGAGAGTTAACTGATGGCTGTCACTGGGTGGGGCGGGGGGAGGCTATGCACTCTAGGTCTGCAGGATCTGCTGCTGTCATAGACACTCTGCCCCTTTGATAATTAACCAGTCACTGGGCAAAGTTTACAGACAGGCTTTCCTACAGGCTCCAGTTCAACGTGGTCAGATGTCAAGTCTCTGTAGTTTGGGTGAAGGCCAAGGCGGCCAACCCACCAGCCGCACCCTCCCCTGTCCTCCTGGGAGACAGATGCCCTCCTTGTTGGCACATACTACTCCATCCTTGGATGGCTTAGGCTCCAGGGCTGGGACATGGTGACTTTCATCCAGTCCAGAGCATGGACTTGGAACCTCAGGACCCATGTGACCTGCGTGGGAGTCTCCCTGCAGAGCGGGATACGGGGACGGAGTTGGTTCATGAAAGACATTCTGCTTGGTATGGAGATGGGCTCGGGATGAAGTGACCCAAGTAGGGCCCAACCCTGAGCTGCAATGCAGCAGGTGGCCATGGGCAGGGTGCAGAGATGCAGCTGGGGCCTAGGTGCAGCCCACAAGCAATGCCAGTACTCACAAGAGCACACAGGGTGCTGCCTCGAGGGACACCCCATTTTCCCTCCCTCGTGAGTTTAGTAGGCAGAGCCTGGGACTTTGAGTCCAACTGAACTGATTGAAATCCTTGCTCTACTTTTACTCATGCCACAGCCTCAAGCAGATGACGCCTCCTCCTCCTGCATGCAGTGGAGTGGCAATGCCTGCCTTCCCATGGCCTGCCCTGAGAGGCCCATGGGTCAGTGGACAGGGCCCGAATGGTGGGGTCATATTTGGGACGTGGTGACCACTGGCCAGAGGGCTCTTCCAAGGGTCGCCTCCTCCAAGAAGCCTTATTGGTGACCTTCCCCCTGCCAAAGCTGCCCTCTGCACTGTACTGCAGTGACCTCCCAGACTGCGTGTAGCTGTTGTCTAAAGCAGCACTGTTTGTGCGAGGCCTCTGTCCCTGTCCTGTCATCATGCAAAACAGCTGGAACGGAGCCATCCCACCTCAGACGTGGCCCTGAGCCTGTGGTCTGCTCTTCACATGCTGTCCTCCCCAACCCTGTTATCTGCCTATCACCAAAGAGTCCTGCCAGTCAGTCAAGGAAATTTGAACTTGGGCCTCAAGAGCCCAAGAGAACGCCCCCAAGAGCCTGTTATCTGCCTATCACCAAAGAGTCCTGCCAGTCAGTCAAGGAAATTTGAACTTGGGCCTCAAGAGCCCAAGAGAACGCCCCCAAGAACCTGTTATCTGCCTATCACCAAAGAGTCCTACCAGTCAGTCAAGGAAATTTGAACTTGGGCCTCAAGAGCCCAAGAGAACGCCCCCAAGAGCCTCCAGAGGGCCGGGCCAGCCTCACTTAGCAATAGTATGGCTGAGCATTGGAGGTGGGCTAAGTCAGCACCCGGGGCCTTGGTTTTCACTAAATTAAGGAACTGGACTGTGGTCCTTGGTCCCCTGGAGGGACAGGCTTTGTCTGACAAAGTTTTCTTGGTCTGTAGCAAGTGCAAAAACTGACATGGTAGAAAATTGACAATAAAATTTCATTTAGTCGATTTAAGGAAATACCCTTTTTCTTTCCAAGACAATATCTTTTATGTTTTTTCGTTGTTGAAAATATCTCTTCTTAGAGAAAATGTCCTAGGTGAGGTGCCGCTGACCACTGACAGGGGTTGGTTTGTTGTGAGTTGGCAGAACTGAGGCATTGGCACCCGCAGGTCAGTCCCCAGAGTTATTTAAAATTGTGTTGTTCTGTAAAAGCCATGCCCCCCAGCACACTCTGTTTCCTGATAAGCACAGCGTGGTCCCTGGCGCTTCCAGTCTTGTCATGCCCAGCTCTCTCCTCCAGTTTTGTTTGTGACATTCAAGTCAGCATGTTGGCTTACGTTGAGACTTGTAACACAGAATACAAAATTCTGCGTGAGGGCCTGATTTTGATCTTTGACAAAGTGGGCGGCTGCCTTGGGAGCCTGCAAGAGTTACGCCCACATGGGCCTTGGCTCACATGCCACTGGGCACCCTCCCAGGGGGCCAAGCCTGGGGAAGAGCTTCCCTCTGCCTGGGAGCCTCAAGGTGTGCAGAGGAGGAGGCTGGTGGGAAGGAGGGACGGAAAGCTTTATTCCACATGGCTGTAAGGGGAACAAGTGTTTGGCAGGTGGTGGTGGCAGGGGGCAGGTGGATGTGGGCCCAGCACTCTGGCAGGCGGGGGTCTTGGGTGGTGAGTGGAGGACTGTAAACCTATATTTCTCTTCTCTAGGTAGAAGCATTAGATTAAATCAAAGCATTTTGGCAAGTATCTATGCCAAGCTGAATTTCAAAAACAAAACCAAGAATTTATTCAGTGGGCTTTGGGTAGGTGTCACCGACTAAGCTGGTCCTTGCCAAATGTGACACCTGTTTCCCTGCCCAGCTGACATCCTATCAGAGAGCAAGGTGGCTCGTGGCACTAATAGAATTGCCAGGATGTTTTCTCAGCAGCCCCTGCTCCCTGACTCCCCAGGACCTCGGGTGCACTGCAGGCTGGGCTGCCATCTACCCTGCCTGGCTTAACTGCTGTCCACCCAGGGCTGTGTGCCCTGGCTGCCTCCCCACCCCACCGGGCTAGGAGCCTGCCCTCACTGCCCCTCCTGCTTGGGGCATAACTCCGTCTCCCATGTACCTCATTCTCTCTCCTCACGCCTAGTAGGCTCACAGGGCAGGTTGCAGAACTGACTACAATTGATCTGCTACAAAATGGTGCCAACTCCGTGCTGCCCACCCTCAGAGCCAGAGTCAGACCTAGGCCCTGTTGGGTGAAGGGTGTGGCTGCAGAGGAGTTGGGGGTGGGTATGTGGGGCACCTTGAAATGCAGACAAAGGAATTGGGGCCTTGTCCTGTAGACCAGGTGTCCTTAAACTATGGCCTGCGGGCCACATGCAGCCCGCCTAGGACATTTATCCAGCCCGCCAGGTGTTTTTGCCACCGCTGCCTGTCCTGCTTAGCAGCCAACTCGTCCTGGGGCCCACAGTCTGGCCCTCCAACCATCTGAGGAACAGTGAACTGGCCCCCTGTTTAAAAAGTCTGAGGACCCCTGGTATAGACAGTGGGCAGCCAGGAGAGGGACAGGGCAGGGCAGCCTCCATGCAGGGCACTTTCCCTTCCAATGTCCTCCCCTGCCCAGAGCCAGAGGAAGGTGCAGGGGACAGTGTCCCAAGATGCTGTTCCATAAGAGACAGTGAAGCACTGCTGCAGAGATGGCCAGAATTAAAAGTGTCTTAAACTAAAAGACAGGCCAGCACGACACGGGCCCATCTTTCTTGGGTGTCTCTGTGACAAGCACAGGCAGGCAGTGTCTAGTGAAAGTGATACAGTTTAACAAACAGGTGACTTAGGTTATTATTTACATTCTGAACTTTTCAGCATTACCTCTAAGAAGGTGTTAGACTCAGAAAACTGCAAACAAAACTAAAGAAGGAAAAACAGCCAACCACAGGACAATGCCAACTTGTGTTAGAACACAGACTTCCTTCCACCCGCGGAAGTGGGCTGTAAACCTGTTTGTGTTTCCACGTTTTGCAAACAGCACATTGGTTTCTCCCTGTCCCTCTTTCATTGAGGTTAAAGGCACCTTTGCACACACCTGCGTGCAGTGACATTCTGCTGGGCCACATGTCCCTCTTCCGGCCTGCTCCTAGGCAACACCCCTAACCCCTCTCTGTCCATCTGCCACCTGCGCTCCTGTTGGCCCCCCTAATGGCTTGGTGAACTCCCTCTATGGAATTCCTGGGGGAATGCTGAGCTGCATGCTATGCTTAGCCCCCAATATCTCTAATATCATGAAGTATCATCCAGAATCCTGTTGGTGATCACAATATATGAAGTCTGTGCAGGGGTCTGCTGGCTTGTCTGCTTGTTCTTGCTCATGGTGCTTTGTCTCCTTTCAGATTCATTTTTATGGGCTTCTCTGGGCCCTTGGAAGGTCTCTGTGGGGTTTCCACAAGGCCAACCACCGAGGCTCCTTCTAACAAGGATTTGTATTTCCTGCTACACCTACCAGCCCAGACCACCTGTCATCTACTACCACCCAGGTAATAAGAATGAGGGGTCTATGGGGGTCACAGCTCTTTGTGTTGAGTCTAGTTTTTCCTTTTGTTTTTTGAGACAGGGTCCTGCTCTATCACCCAGGCTGGAGTGTGGTGGCTCAGTTATAGCTCCCTTGAACTCCTGGGCTCAAGTGACTCTCCTCCCTCAGCCTCCTGAGGAGCTGAGACTACAGATACATGCCATCACACCCGGACATTTTTTCTATTTTTTGAGGATGTTGCCCAAGCTGGTCTCAAACTCCTGGACTCAAATGATCCTCCTGCCTCGGCCTCCCAAAGTGCTGGGATTGCCATTATGAGCCGCCATGTGTGGCCTCTTCCCTTTCCTTTTAATGCCAAGGAACTCTTTCTTCTAAACTGGTGTGGGAAATTGGAGGTGGGTCAAAGGCCTCCCAGGCCTCAACTCAACACAGGAGAGCCCCAGGCAGGCTCCTCACAGCTTGACTCTGTTTGCTCACCACCCCCACCAGGGACAAAGCCGAACTCTGCCAGACTGGCAAACACTGTCAGGCAGAAATGGCCCCCTGTCCATTGCGTTCCCCTAGAACTTGGCCTGCTGTCTTAACAACTCTTTGATGCTTTCACAGTAATTAAAAAATCTTTATCCAAAACTGTTACTTGTTTTCAGAGGGAACATTGTGCCAAATAACCTAGCCAGCCATTGCTGACATGGCAGCGGGGACCATTATTTCAATTGTAAATATTTCTTTTCCATGTGCTGACCTGTCTCCTCCAGATGTGAAGCAGCTGGAGGACTGGACCTGTCCTTGTGCCTCATGTGCCCACACCTTGCCTAGCACAGGGATTTTTCAGCAAGTTGCTGTTGATCCAAAGGGAAGTGGGTCCCTGCTCCTCTTCCTGGGCAGAGGGTCAGGTCCCTCCTGGCCTCATCTGCCTATGGGGGCAACTGAAGAAGCACAGCACACTTCACACTCAGCCGCCCTGTGGGCAGCTAATCCTCTGCCTGTTCCCAGCTATGGAAACTGAGGCTGAGAGGCTGAGCGGTCCCCTAGGCAGCAGGCCTGGGCCTGGTGCCCGGGCAGCCTGGGTCACGTGCTCTCACTTTTTCCACTGTGTCCACATTTCCCTCCCAGGCTCTGTGACCTTGGACAGCCATGGACGTCCGCGTCCACCCCGACTGTAAAATGAGAGCTGGGCTGGCTGATCTCGACCGTCCCCCTGCCAGATTGGGATTCTGTACTGTGCTCAGGAGTGTGACTGTGACATGCCCCAGGAGGTCACTGCCAGTGCACACCACGAGGGCGGCATTGCTCCTGGCAGTGGGTGGGGCAGACACATGATGATCCCCAGCTGAGCATTTGTGGGGAATTATGCTCTGGGTCTCGTGCTCTGTGCTCTGGAAGTGCTCTCAGACCAGCCCCCACGCCTGGAATTGGCCTCTGAGCTTGTGGCCCTTTCTCCACTGCACCCCCCACAGGTAGGTCAGCCGAAAGTCACCCACTTTGGCCTCCCACAAGCTCACAGCTGACAGACCGCCACGTCCCATCCTGGCCCTCTCCCACCATCGCTCTGTTCTAAAAATATGTCCTGGTTTCTGGTTGGAGACCAGCAGAAGTGATGGGCCCTGCTGATAAGATGAAGACAGTTAATTACTGATGGGGGTTTTAGCAAATTACCAAAATATCCGGACTCAAAGGCTGGATCCCTGTGTGTCCTGACCCCTTGTGCCAGGATGGAGACCCTGGGACTTGAGGAAATAGAGGCTAGGTCAGGGCCCCTTCCCTAGTCCCTTCTGCCCCCTTTGGGTGAGAGCCCAAGAAAACTGCCTGGGAGGGGACCTCTTGGCAGGCCCGGACACCCAGTTGGAACTTTCTGCACTAAGGGGTTTCTGCAGGACAGGACCCAGTGGAATCCTCTCTGGGTCCCCAGGGTCAGGCACAGGCCAGTAAGAGAGGCTCAGGCAGCCGAGAGTGGCTCCCTCTCCCTGTCACCACTTGTGCTGAGTCTGAGCTGGAATCTGGGCTCAGGAGGCCCTTGATAATCACATCAACCCTCTGAGCCTCAGTTTTTCATGGGGAGAAGGCTACCCTTGGAGGGTCTCTGTGAGGGTCAGAAGTAATGAAGTTCAGCATGGCCCCCGTCAGCAGACTACAGCTCTGGCTCTGGCTCTGTCCCTGCTCCACCCACTCTGCCCTTTCATTTCTCACTTGTCCACCTGCACAGCCCATCCCTGCCCCCACCCCCCACTGCTGGCCACCCAGCAGGCCTGGGCAGAGCCCCTTGGCCTGACATCTGGGTTCGACCATGGTCACCTCCTTACCTGTCTCTCCAGCTGTCCACTTCCATTCCATCACTTTGCACATTTTTCCTTCTGTTTTTCCCTTAAGGACTTACTCCAGGCACCACCTCCTCCAGGGAGGCCCCCCGTGACTCCTCCGGGGCTGTGCCCCTCTTCCGTACTCCCCCGTCCCAGGCTCCTGCTGACCTTGCTGTCTTTTGCTTGTTGACTACATGGCCTCCCTGCCCAGACTGGAAGCCTCCTGGAACTGGGTTCTCATCTGAGATTGTTAGAAACAATAACAACAACAGGAACGATGGAAGAAAATCACCATCTCACAGCCATTATAACAAGAATTGATTCAGCAAGAGTCATCCAAGGATGCCAAAATTAGCGGGTAAAAGTTGGAGGATATCTACAAAGTCTCACAGTGTCTCCCGGTAAGATACTGATTAATGGCAAAACGAAACATCATAACTTGTCAGTGGAAAAGTCTGGCAGAACCCTCCTTTGTCAGGTAATGGCCAGGATGGCAGGGACAGGACAGACCTCCTGACTCACGTGATGCAGTGAGTCTCACTTTGTCGCCCTGGTGGAGTGCCATCACAGTTCACGGCAACCTCAAACTCTTGGGCTCAAGTGATACTTTTGCCTCAGCCTCCCAAGTAGCTGGGATTATAGGCGCCCACCATAATGCCCGGCTGTTTTTAAAGATGGAGTCTCTCTCTTGCTCAGGCTGGTCTCCAACTCCTAAGCTCAGGCAGTCCACCTGCCTTGGCCTTCCAGAGTGCTGGGATTATAGGTGTGAGCCACTGTGCTCAAACCTTTTCTTTCTTTCTTTTTTTTTAAGAGACAAGGTTTCACTCTCTCGGCCAGAGTGAAGTACAGTGGCATCATCACAGCTCACCGCAACCTTACACTCTTGGGCTCAAGAGATCCTCCTGCCTCAGCCTCCCAAGTAGCTGGGATGACAGCACCTGCCACTGTGTCTGGCTTTACTGTTTTTAAGTACAGAGCTCAAGGTGTTATAAGGGCTTTCACATCATTGATCAATTATCACCACCATACATGTTCAGAACTTTTTCATCATTCTAAACTGAAACTCTGTACCCATAAAAATCCCCATTCCCTATTTGGACTTTTATTTGGTATAAAAGAGATTTGGGGGGACATGTTTTGAAATCCAAGTGAGGTCTGTAGTTTAGATAATAATGCCGTATCATTGTCAGCTTCCTGGTTTTATCGTTGTACTGTGGTTATACAAGACAGTGTCGTCAAACATTTTGATGTTGTGACTCCTGTATACTCTTAAAAGCTGTCGAGAAGTCCAAAATGTTTTGTTTACTCAGACTATCATTGTCAAGACTACAGTGTTAGGAATTAAAACTGAGAAAAAACCTTAAATATTTATTCATTCATGTAAATCCCATAAGCCATTCATAGGCTAATAAATAACATTTTCGGAAAAATGATTCTATTTTCCAAAGCAAATGTTTAAAAACATTTTCGCAGATCTCTTTCACACCTGGCTTAATAGAAGGGGCTGGAATCTCATGACTGCCTCTACATTCTATGGTTTTCATTGATGTCTACGATAAATCTGGCCTCCCTGCATTTTAGGTAGAGGACAGAGACTATTTTAATAGGAGTTTCAGGTCATAGTGAGGATTCTTAGATTCTACCCCCAAATTCAGTGACTGAAGTTTTAACACAATAGCTCTTTGCATTATCTGCACACCCTACTGGTCACCTTTTCAAAGGGCATGTGGCAAGGTTTCCGGAACCTCCCTGGCCCTGGACCGTATAGCTGAGGAGGGACTGGCTGCTTAGACTAGTGGGTAGGACAGCCGTCCCACCACCCATCACCCCTTCCTAAGCCCAGTGTCAGCTCTGAAGAGTGAGGGCCAGGGGGACAGGGAAGTGCCCAGGCCAGCCATGGCCATATAGCCAGGGAAGGGTTTTTTCCTGGATTCCACAGATTTCCAGAAAAGAAGGCTTGAGTTTCTGCCTGTGTGGTGTCCTCCCCCATCACTGGGAAGTCCCTGCCATCTGCTCTGGGAAGCTGGATGTGTGTCTGGCTTTCTCAGGGGGAGTTTGGAGTCCCCAACGTGACTCTACCCCTCACTCCCCAAGAGAGAAGGACAAGGGTGGCACAGCCACTAACCCTAATCCTGGTGAAGCAGGGAGCTGAGGGACTTTGTCCGGGGCTCACCTGCCACTTTGGGCTTGTACATGTGTGTGTGCGTGCCTGCACCTTCATGTGTGTGCATGGACATACATGAGATGTGTGTACACATGTGTATTTGTGCGGCACTGTGTGAATGTGCATGGATACCTGTGTGCAAACATGCAGCTGTGCTCATACACACGCATGTGTGGGTGTGCATGTGTGTGAGTAGGTGTGCACATCCATGTGTGTACACACGGGTTTCTGTGTGTTCCTGTGTACGCACACACGCATGAAAGCCCTCAAGAGCATGAGGGAGGATGCAAAGGCCAAGCTAAGAGGAGCAGCTCTCCCGGGCCCAGCCCACCCTATATTAACCCATGGTTTCTTCAAAACCAAAAAGGCCTTGAGACCTTTTTTTTTTTTGAGACAGAGCCTCAAGCTGTCACCCTGGGTTGAGTACTGTGACATCACAGCTCACAGCAACCTCCAACTCCTGGGCTCAAGTGAGTCTCCTGCCTCCGCCTCCCAAGTAGCTGGGACCACAGGCACCTGCCATTAATGGCCCGGCCATTATTTTTGGTTGCAGCCATCATTGTTGTTTGGTGGGCCCGGGCTGGATTCTAACCCGCCACCTTAGGTGTATGTGGCTGGTCCCTTAGCCACTTGAGCCCCAGGCACCAAGCCAGGCCTTGAGACCTTAAGCTCAGCAAAGCCAAGGTCAGCAAGGCCACACACTTCCCGGGACAATGCTGTCCTCACCTTCTCCACGGCTCATTCCCCCACTTGTCCCCTGGGAGGGCCTCTCGCCTGTGCTTTTTCGTTTCAGGTCCACGCTGAAAGCCTGCTGCAGTGTGCTGGTGGAAGCGCCATCATCTCCCAGCCGGCTGCCCACGGATGTGCTTCCGTCCCAGTGTGGGTACTGGGTGCAGCCGGCCCAGGCAGCCTCCGGGACTCCTCCCGAGGTCTGGCCTGGGTCGCCCCCCAGTTTGCCGCCTGGCACCCTTCCCCAGGGACCTGAGAGGACTTCTTGAAAGGCTCGTCAGTAATTCCAACGGCTGTCCATTCCCCTATCACTCGCTTCATCCAGGGAACAAAGAGAGAATTGTAACGGCTTGTGGGAAAGGGGCACAAAGAGTTTGGTTTTCCTTCCCTGATCTGAACCCTGTCACCAGGCCCGTGGGGCTGCTTGGAGATTCCGAAGCTTCTCGGAGGAGGCTGGGCAGGCAGAGGGGGTGGCTGTCCTCTCAGCAGCTCCCAGAGCCATCCAGTCTGTCCACGTGTGTGCTTGAGGACCACCAGCCTCTTCCGCCTCCTCCCCGCCAGCTCCTGGCCTCTGCTCGGGCCTTAATCACGGCCCTTCTCTTCTCCTCTTCCCAGCCCGCCTACCCGAGTGCTCCCCCAGGGCTCCACTACCCCACAGAGCCAGGCATCCCTCCTGAGCTGCCGACTGGGGTGCCTGGAAGGAGCCCCCAAACTTTGCCAGAGGCTGATAGTCCCCAGAGCCTCCCACATTGGCTGGTCAACCATGTCACCAGCCAGCCATGTGTGTCTAAGCTGGGAATCTGGGAGTGACCCCTGGGAGTGATGCCACTGGGTCCTCACACCTGTGAGCCCCTCTGAGAGTGTCTCCTTTACGGCCCGGCAAACCTCCTCTCCAACACCCCCTCCCCAGGTGAACCACCACCACTTCCCTGGCCCCCAACCCCTCCTCTGAAAGTACCTTGGACTCCACTGCCTGGAATGTTCCAGACACTTCACGTGGCCATGGCATGAAGTCTTTCCCTCCTCCCGCAGGGGAGTCGCAAGGACACACAGAGTGTGCGGGGCTGGGCACCCAGGGAGCCACTTTCAAGTTCACTGCCCTTGACCTGCAGGCCCCATTGCCTCCATCTCCCACGTGCCCACCCCAGCTGCTGGGTTCCCCATCACCTCCCAGCGGGGGCAGGGGAGAGAGTCAAGTGGCTATCAAGGGTAGGGGCTGGTCTGGGGTTTAGGACCCAGGTGATGTTTGTCCTGAGTGAGGGACACAGAAATGACCCCATCTCTGGCCCTCACCCCAGGAGAGGTCCTTCCAGAGGACTGAGGCAGGTGCTTTCCTGTGGAAGGAGGCTAAAGGAGCAGCTGGGCCCGAGCCAGGAATTCAGGTCCGGGGAGCATGAGGGCAGAGCATGCCTCCAGCCCAAACGCACAGGAGGGGACGGAGACCACATGGCCGGTTTGCAGGCGATTTGGGGAGCCTCGGACCCTGGCAGCTGCAGAGGGAGCAGAGCAGGGTGCGCTGAGGGCTCTGGCCACAGAGATGACCCTGGAGGAGCCAGGCACAGGCAGGCTGGGAGCCCCAGGCTGTGAGGGACATATGGGGGAAAGTGGCCTGGGTTCTAGGCAGGGAAGACGGCCAGCCAAGTACCAGGCTCTGAAGAACTGACTCATTTACTGTCCGCATGGGCCCTGCAGGATGGCACCAGTGATTCCATTCTCAGGTAAAGAAACTGAGGCTGCAAGGCCACAAAGCTGGAGGCTGCTGCTGCTAAGACCCAAGCACAGGGCTCAAGGACACTGTGTGGTCCTCCATCGAGGCGTGTGCAGCTGGGAGCTGGGGCCAAGTAAGACCACCACAGCCTGCCAGGCACCAGCCTCATCCCACACCCCCAGGCTGGGGTGAGGACAGGTGGCTCTGAGGGCATCTGGGAGGAGAGGGGAAAGGAGAGAAGGGCACAAGGAGCGTGAGGAGCCCAAGATGGTGCTGCAGCCTTTGCCCTGGAAGCAGCACAGGGCAGGGCAGTCCTGGGGTAAGAAGGAGGTGGGACAGGACACTGGCTGCTGCTGGGGCCTCCATGGGCTCCTGCCTGATGTTCTAGTGGCGCTCCTTGTAGCAGTGGGCTGGCACCTCCAGAACCAATGTCACCTATGACCCCACGTCAGGCTGGGGAGGGCCTGCCAAGTAGACCATCATGGCTGTAATATCTATAGGGCAGGAGGCCTGGAAGAGTGGCCCAGAGTCACCCCTCCCTGGGAGCCAGGCGCTCATGCTGGCCACCTGCCCCTTCAGCCCCACCCAGCTCCAAAGCTGAGGGTATCCCAGGCTCCTGCCCACGTCTCCTCCCAGCAACTCCATGCCCTGCCAGACCCTGAGTCCTGTAGCCTTCATGGCCCAGAGCTGACTCCCCTAAATAGAAGAAAACTTCAGCTCTGTGTGGCCCTGTGTCCTGCTACAGAGGAGAAGACCCAGCTGGGGGTCCAGAGGCTCAGCTTCCAGCCCTGGCTGGCCCTGAACTTGGCCTGGTCTTTGGACTCTTGGGGCCATGTCACAAGCCTGAGTGAAGAGGCCCTTTGGCCTAGTGGCTCTGGCAGGCAGCAGACCATCTGCCATTCTCTGACCCTGAGGGTCCCCAGACCCCCCAGTAGGCAGCATTTGGGCAACTGCCTCTACAGCCAGGTCAGGTCAGCAACATGTACCCAGGGTGGCCGTGTCACCTCAAGGCT